GGGTAGCTGGCTCAAGGTGTGACAAGTAAACCTCCTAACCAAGTTTGCAACGCTTTGTATCTATGAACCAAAACAAACCACTAGATGTTAGTTTGCAATAATAGTAAAAGCTCATAAAGAAAATGGGTTTGAAAATTCATCAGTTAACCACTGTATTTATATCTTAGACAAAGGTGCAATATGTAAAATTATTTATGTAGCTCTGTAGATGGTATTTGCCACTGCAGATAATAATACATTGAATAGTTTAAAAAGGGATTTGGCAAATAACTGTTCTATGTTTTATTTGAAAGACAGTAAACTATTTTTGGGTAATAAAATTAAAAGGTAATAAAAAATAAAATTATCTACTCTTGATCAATTTTCATATAGGTACAGTTCAAATGTACATGAAAACTATTTTACATAAATTTAATATGAATGACTGTTGTGCCATCAGCTGTGTCAGCACTGCACTTCCTAGTAAACTGAATTTGATTGGTTTAAATTCAGAAGTAGAACATGATAGCCCTTGCCGGAATCTAATCGTCTGTTTAATGTATATTATGTTATGTATATCAAGCCTGATTTAAGTACCACTATTAATATTTTGAGCAGGTTAATACCTGCAAGAATAATAAAGAGTTTTGGCAATATTTGAATAGGGTCCTTAGATATTTTAAGGGTAAAATCAATGTGAAGTTGACACAATATTTTACTTGTGAATGTATCAATTTCTTGAGTGATTCTATTAATCTTGACTAGGAAGTCAAATAATCCAACAAATCACAAAAGATCAAATCATATTGAATCGATCGTAATTAATATAAAATATTAATTTGTCCACAGATAAACCACTAGCAGACATGTTTACCAAACCATTTATGCAAGTGAAATTTGAGAAATTAGAATGGAATTAGGATTAGTAAATAAGTTAAATGGTTTGATTAGGTTTTTCTGGGTTTTCCCTAATCCCGAGCAGCAAATGCTGGACCGTTATAGTAATTTTCCCCAGAAAAGACACACATAAGGAAAGCAGGCCTATTTATGTTATACTAAGTTTAAGTTGTATTACACTTTTAGTATAATTGATCAAATTTTTGAGGTGGCGTGTTGGATAAACTGATATTCATATCAGTGGAACAAAAATTAATAAATTAAACTTTCATTATTAGTCTATACTTTGCTAATTTATATCGCAGCTATGGATGACTGAATGTGTTTATAATAGTTTTTATATGTAAGATAAACAGATGAGGAATCGTTTACTTAAGAAAGGGTTTGTAATTCTTTGTCTTGATGTTGAGTCAGTTCGTATAGTTATTTCTACGAGTTCACACGCTCTGCTTTCCACTCTGTGTTCGATATAATAAATATATTGAATATCGATAATTAACAAGTTCTTTTATTTCTTAGTCTATTTCCCAACAGTTTTCAATACTTCAAGTAACTGACAAATCAAGAATCAATTATTATTGGTTCAGCCACCTATTCTTTTTTATGCTATGTTGCCAGATGTTTAGAAACCGAATTACGAGTAACATTGTCATGTTATTTTTTTAATTTTCAATTATGTATTGTTTCTGACTAAAAATGAAATTAATTGTTTTAGATCCCATAATGAATAAAATTTTCTTTATCTTTCAAATATTCGTCAGAAAATGTCAAAACTTCAAAGGCTTCTTCTCAAAAATGTTTGAGTTTGGACCCCATGTTATATAAACTTTTTTTGTTCAGAATGGGCCATTTTTTCACGTGCTAAAATTTTTTCAGAACTAAGGTACTGGAGGCAAATATGGCCCACTTAAGCTTAAAATGCATTTGAAATTTCGACGTTGATATTTGTGTTAACGGCTTTCACATCAAAATGTTAGTAATTTATTACTTATTTGATATATGCATAGAATTCTACTACTTCAAAATTATTCTTATTAGACGAAGATGCAAAACTAGTCAGTTTCACAAATGGGCCATATTATTCTCCCGTTCTAGTTATATGGCCCATACCTAAATTCCATAGAAATACAAACAAAAAAATTAATAAACTGGTTATGCAAATATATGTATTTTTGACAGATAAGAGGAAACTATAATTAAAAAAACAGCTAACAACACTGAAAGTCATCGAAGTCATCAGGCGCAAGACCAACACATTCATCATAATATGGGCCATATTACCCCTATGTACTGGGCCATATTATCCGAAAGTACAACCAAAATAATATTGACATAAAAAAAAGAGCGAGTAGTCACATCAACAAAACATTTTATGGTTAGATAGCTAATAAACCAGTATTCAATTGGGGATATTTTCAGTCTTTAGTTTAAGCCACAATTAGAGAAACGCAACGTGAAATTTCGTCGAAAAGTTATAATTGCGTGGCATCACACTGGCCGGTAACGTAGAACTGCCGATAATTCGCAACCACGTGATGATCGGTGGATGGGAAAATACCCCTTGTAGAGGGGCCATACAGGCAACTATTCGACGTTGTCAGATTAGTCACAAATGCTTTGATTTTTAAAATTGAGACCTTGGGCCATATTACCCACTGGGCCATATTTGCCTCCAGTACCTTATGGGAAATAACACATACGACATCGTGGGTGGTTTACCTAGGTACTTTTAATTTTTTTATAGTTTTCACCATTATGCATATAGCTAATACTCTCCATTAAAATCGTATATTCCGATGATGAAAGATTGGAAGACAAGAGAAAATATATATTTCTTGAAAAGAAAGCGTATCGGCAACTTTTAGAGAAAGTTTATGATTGAGCTGTTTCAAATTCCGCCGAATCAGATTTACTTCTTTTTAGTTCTCAAATTGCAAAAGTTTGCCAATTTCGTTTTTGAGCTTATTATTTTCCAAAACCGAGACCTGATTTATTTAGATGCGGGCTTCAGATTTATTTTGTCGTATCAGGAAAAATTACGCGTTATCACATCACACAGCGTCCCTCTAGAGATAACAACCTCAGAGGTATTGTATTTCTCATTTGCTATCCACTGATTTCAGATTTACTTACTATACCATAATATAAAAAATAGCCCCATGTCAATATTGCCTATTTTGTATTAAAAGGCCATTCGGTATGCGTTAGTTTCTTCACATACACAAAATGCGTGGAAGTGTTTTCGCGGCAAAACAGAACTTAAGCAATTTTATTACTCAAAATAACCTGAAAGGTCGATAAAAGTTGACATCCTGAAAATAAATTCGGAATTGTGAAAGTAGTTGAGTCAGGTATCGAGTTTGACAGTCTTTTTATTATCATTGAATCCATCAAGCTTCAAGTCGCTGTCACTTTCCCGAGCAAAATGGCGGCCTATCAAAAGTTTAAATGAAAGAAAGTATGAATAGATATATCATCATCATCATAGGCAATCACTCGAACCCGAGTATGATTATATTTTATTCTATTCTTCGCCGATTGTGCGTTTTCTGTTGGCTATATAAACCAATTCTGGAGCCACACACACTCCCAAAGTCTTGGCACACCCAGTCTCTGGCAGCATTGTCTTCTCCTCTGCGCTCCCTCTTTTCGGTCTCGCAGACGTCGCTGTTATTCAAAAGTTCGTGGTCCGTGGTGGACTACTCGACGCCATGAGGGCCTATCATTTGCCGTCGTCTCCCTGCTACTCGTATCGATGCGGCACTTTGCCATATTTTCCTTTAGAACATCTTTGTAGCGTTTATGTTGACCTCCCGGATTTCGTTTTCCTTCTTTCAGTTGACTGGAGAGAATCTGTCGTGGAAGACGTGTTCCGAGCAAGCGGACGAGGTGAACTGTCCAGCGAAGTTGGTGCATGCTTAATGATGAGGGATTTTATGCTAGTTGTTTTGGACTCCTCGAAAACACTAATGTTTGTTCGTCTGTCTTGCCATTTAATCCGTAGGATCCTTCTTAGGCATCGCGGGTGGTATTTTTCTAGACTTTTTATGTGTCTTCTGAAGGTGGTTTATGTTTCGCATCCATATGTAAGTGGTCGTATTACAACTTCATTGTAGACGTGAAGTTTATCTCAGCGCTGATGTGATTGATAAAGACTCTATCTAGTTGTCGCCCGAGCGCCGCGCTAGTACACTTTAAGCGATGGTGGATTAGTATCCGGTGCGAGTTGGTGCAGAATCTGCGTCTTGTTAAGGCTGACCTCTAGGCTGATTCTCCTGTATGCCTGTATTGGCTATCACGACGTTATTATCCGCATATTGAGGTTCAATTATCGACGTCGTCGATACTTTCGTCTTGGCTCGTAATCTGTTTAGGTTGAATAAGCCGATAATACATGATTTCCACTCCTGCCGGCAGGTGACCCACGGAAAAGTGAATAAAGTGGGTGCAATAACACAGCCCTGTTTAACGCCTGTAGTTATTTTAAAAGATCTTCTGGTCCATCGTTGCTTAGGACGGTTGCATTTATATTATCATGCAGCAGGCGGAGTATCTGGATGTACTTTTGCGGACACCCAACCTTTGCCAATATCTTCCAAAGAGCTTCTCTGTTGACCGAATCAAATGTTTTAACTAAATCTATGAAGGCAATGTATAGAGGGGCGACTTTGTTCCCTGGATTTCTCTTGCATTTGTCTTGCACTGAAAATCATGTCAGCTGTACCTCTGGTAGGTTCTCTTCGGCAGTTGCGAATAAACGATTTGATATTATCCTGGCAAGTATCTTTCCCGCAACAGAAAGTAAAGATATTCCTCTGTAGTTTCCACATTGAACCTTGTCTCCCTTTTTGAAAATGGTTGATAAGTTCGGCAGGTATGAGTCGCTTCCCAGTGACGCACTTTATGCACTCCTGGGTCGCTCTAGAGCGCCCCAGGCTGCTTATAGGCGTTCCACTGCGTCAGAGTCTCGCGCAACTGAACTGCTCGTTTTTCCCCTCCCCTGCCCCCTGTAGCACCTACTATTTCGCCAGTGCGTCAAGCTCAATTTTTAATATTGAGGTTAGTTTCTGTTATTTTCGAGTTTGTCGAAGGTTGTTTGTTTATACTTGTTAATTGTTAATAAGAATAATTTTCGGTGAATTTAAATTATTTATACTCACGCTTACCGGAACCGTATACGACGTTTCTTTGGATGCAGAAGATTATTACAAATCTCGTGATGGTAAGTTCTCTTCAGCAGGTCTTGTAATTATTAATATATATTGGTTTTAGACATTACCTTTGCAACATCTCTATTGAATGGAATTTTGAAAGAATAGCAGCAAGATGATGTGACCAACGAAGTTGATGACGATGTCACTGAGGAAAACCTAATTGAATATCAAGGTGGTCCTAGTGGACAATCCCATCCTCTCAATGAAGAAAATGGTATTATTGGTACACAGTGAAACATTGGTCTCAATTAAGTCAATGGAAAGTCACTTAGAAAATTTGAGTCATCCAAAAAAAAGGAAACATGGTGTTTGAACACTGTGCTAATGATCTACTTAGTTCAGGATATACCTAGTATTACGGCCACACAGTGTCAGAACAAGTGGAAGTCATTAGTACGAAATTATATTACTTCAAAAGACCACAAAACTAAAACTGGTCGAGGGCCAAGTCGGTTTCAGTTCTTCAATGAAATTGATGCAATTTTTAGAACAAAGCCCTTTAAACCAATGCGAACATACAATTGAATCCAGTGCTACGGTACAAAATGAGAATTCAGAACCCAAAAACGAGAAAGAAATTACAACAACCGATGAAAGAGATTTGGATACTGGTTTAGAACATCTGAAGATGATAACCCCGAGGGAGTTTTTGAGGGAAGAGTCAAGAACAGAAACAGAACCAATTATGAAGAATATTTGAGGGGAAAAAAAAAAAATTGAAGCCGAAAAGAATAAACACCATGCTGAAAAAATGGAGATTGAAAGACAGAAAATAGAAAATGACAAGGAAAAAATTGCTCTTTCAAAAGAGATTCTCAAAAGAAAGTAAAACACCTAATTTTTATTCATGAGGTAACTTATTTTCAAAGAAGTTTTAATTTTTTGGGTGAGGTTAAGTATGTAATATTGTCAACCCTACATGGGACCATAGGCTACAACCAAATTCAATACACTGAACCACGGGTTGAAACAAATAACTGCAACTAAGCAAGAAAACACAACAGACTAATTAACCTAATTATAGTCAGCAGATATTGGATATAAAAACCACGAGCCACACTATGGCAAATCAGTCGTGTCTCAGCGCTTTTCTGTATCAGTAGGTGTTTACAGTGGCGTAGCCAGCCTTGCGGGGCGGGAGGGGCAAACATGAGGGGGCGCATAATTCTTTTGGCGGAGGGGAGGGGGGGGGGGGGGGTAAAAAATGGATGTTTGTATGCTTTTGTACTATTTGCTTATTAGGGGAAAATATTAAAGACGAAAAGCCCGCCGGAGGCGAAAAATTTCTCCGGGTGCCACGCCCAAAAACGTTTATTTCAAGCCTTCAAAAACTATTTTTTTTTTGGGTGCCACTCCGAAAAATATTTATGTATTAAAAGAAGTAATGTGTGAACATAACGTTAACTTAAAAAAATCCTTCCGGACGTCTCCGGACGCCTTAAAAATTAGAATAAATCCGTGGAAATCCGGAGGGATGACAGCTCCTAGTTTGATAAACAAATAAATACATTGAAACTCATAATAATTGTTTTTCAATTTTGTTTTTCAGAAATTATTAGTGAAGTGGCAGAAAAAATCGGCGGTATACGGTACTTTTATTTTAACTACATCACATCAACTATCAAAACAGAAACTATCACGTTTCCTTTGATTGAACTGAACCATTTGCCGATAATGCCAACTTAAAGATAAAGAATAAAGGATGAAGAGGTCAATAAAATAAATAAGAAACAGCATAATTTTATAATTTCTTGTTTTTGTTTTTTAAGAGCGGTAGTGGCGCCATACGTGTAGGGGCGGGGGGGGGGGGGCGTCGCCCCCCCTGCTCCCCTACTAGCTACGCCACTGGGTGTTTAGACACGTCTCAAAGTCGGAAGCTATCTGGCCGAATAGGGATTGCGTATCGTATCTCTGTCCGAGCAGATTTCATCTGACGACCCAGACTCTGTGAGTCATGTCTCAGCGCTTTTCTGTATCAGTAGGCGTTTAGATACGCCTCAAAGTTGGGAGCTATCTGGCCGAATAGGGATTGCATATCGTATCTCTGTCCGAGCAGATTTCATCTGACGACCCAGACTCTGCTCTACAGTACAGGCTTTCTAGCTTCTATTGTGGTGTTGGTTTGGTCGTCTTAGTAGCTGCTGACCACAAAGATCAAGCTTGGGCTTATACCCGAAGGATTCGCTCAGGTGCCTTTAGACCCTTTTTAGCCCGAAGTGACGTGCTGGCTCCGGATGATAACAATATGGTAATACTTGTGTGTTTTACTCTAAATGTAATCTCTGCCCTAGAACATTAAATATATTAAGTATATTTATCTAGCGTTATTCTGGTGTTCGCTTTCCCTTCCCTTCCCTTCCCGTGCTGATTTTCAGGGTGAATAGTTGAGCTATGTAGCGGAGCAAGAGAGGCTTCGTGACATTTGGTGGAGGTGCCGCTTTCCTGGAACACCTGGATGACCTAGCCAAGGGAAACATTCAGGACCACTCTGAACGACGGAAGGAAAATACCCTATAACCTTTCCCTTAACCAATTCAAACATGAAAGGGACACACCAGATACCTAAAAATAATTTCGTCAATAATAATTTAAACAAAAACTCTTAAATTCAAAATCAACATAATTTGTGAGCAAAATCGATCAATTTGGATTTGATGAGTCAACAAAATTACTTCTTAAGGTCCAAATCAACGACCGAGCAATGTAACCACATGTAAATATCTCTGCAATTAAACAAGCAGAAGATAAGAGCTCCAGGTGTCCATTAGCAGGCCAAGAGGAAAGAAAGAAAATTGTAAGGGATTTCTCAAAAGAATTTGAAGACGCCAACTACCTGACGTCCCTAAAAAGGCAAGTAGAGGAGCGCAAACAGTACCCAAAAGAGACAGTCCGGGATTACCTGTACGAATTGAGAGTACTTGTACCATGACTACAGGAAGAAGATAGATATAGAAGAATTTGTTACCATTTTCAGCATAGGGTTGACTGAAGAAAACTTTGTATCACTATAATCTGGTATGTTACAATTGTGGAAAACAGGAACACTTTGCAGCCAAGCAGAACCCAAACGGAAAAGGATGGCAAAAATAGATACCCCAGCCATCCTAGCCCTAGGGGATACATCTAGAATAGGAATCTTATTCATCACAGTTACAACAAATAACAGGACTCTGTCTGCTATAGTCGACATGGGAGCCCAAAATAACGTCAGACCAGCACAACTGATGGTAATAGGAAAAATACAGACAGACAATAGCACGATATTAGTCACCGCAGGGGGACATCGAATACCAGTTTTGGGAAAAATGACAACAACAATGGAAATTGCAGGAAAGGTATACTCAATGCAAAAGTACCGAGAAAACTACTCACATTGAATAATAAATATAGAATACGACTATATCAGGACTATAAGCAGAACATTAGCTTGTCAAGCCTCATTACCGCAAAAAACTCGAGCACGGAATTTAGCTGATCTCAAAAAGATGAAGAAGAATTCAACAAGTTTATCAAGAACCACATACACATAAGAAAGACAGATACAAGCAGATTCCTGAGGAAAGAACATCGAGACATAAGTCACCTCCCAAATGACGCGGTTTTGGTATTCGGAACACACACGGAACACGGTATACAAAAAATACAGGCGCAGCCTCCCGAAGAAAAGGGAACCAGGAACCATTGGACAATTAAAAGAGATAAACTACAGGAAAAAATCGACAATTTTTCTATTCACGAGAGAAACAATTAAAAAAAAGCCTACCGCAAGAAACATGTACAGATGCCTGATAGCACTGAAAAATACTAGCAAATCTATGTCCCACACAACATTGGTCATTCCAAGACAAGTGTTCAATTTGTAAAGCAAATGCCCTTGACTGGCGCATCCATCAAATATTATTTTTCTGAATCTTCTTACAAAACTTCGGCGATGCAAGAAGGGGACGCACCCGACCGTAACGCCTAGACCCTTTTTTCTTATCTCAAGATACAAAATAAATATAATGCGCAGTTATTGCATAGATTTGGCTGTGTTCGGACTGCAGTTTGCGTCCAAATTTCTCATTTTCGCCTAATAAAGGCATAAATAGTTTTTTTCCTAATTTAAGTAGTGCCAAAGTTTACGTAGTACTACATATAGAACTTTCTACAACAGCTGAGAGTGGTGTAGCAGTTTCTACAAACTCTCCTCTTTTCGTCGTCCCCTCACACGTAGTGAGTAAAAGATATTTAATAATATTCCTTTTGATATCGCCTATACCGTCATACACATTGTGTTTTAAGTATAGTGTAATAGTGTGTAGTGCAAATTTAGTGTATTTACTTCAGTATTCTCAGTTGCGCTGAGATTAATATTAAAAATCGTTTAGGAAAATAAAGATTGTGTTTGAACTTAAAACAAACGATTTTCACGTGTTTTTATTTTTTTTTCTAATACAGTAATACAGTCGTGTGTAAAACATTTTGGTCCTTCGAGCCGGATTTTCTAGGTGTCCTAGAAGACTAGCCTACTGTGAAGTTTCTACTGTGAAGAAATAACATTGGTGAACTCCTGTGAATTGGTGAGACAATTTTATTTTCCTTTTTTGCTTTACTAGCTCCGATTCGAGCTATAGACACACTGTTTATGAACACCCCTTTGTTTTTTATTGTTGTTTTGAAAACTTTTTTACGTATTTTCTTGGCCACTATTATTTAGGTAATAGTCAGGTAGGCCCATTTATTCTTTGAGTGGTTATATAGGTGCATGTAGGCGTGCAAATTTGTATATTTTTTCCAAGTTGTTTCTAGTATTTAGATACCTGTAGGTGTATTTGAAAATAATTTTCAACGGAATTTGCTTTCTTTAATTAGGTAATTTTCTTTATAAAATTGATTTTTTCCGAATTTGCTTTCTTTATTTAATTAGTTAATTTTCTTTTCTTTAATAGATTTTTTCTGTTAATATAGATTAAAGTAGGTACATATTAGTATACTGTAATAAATTAAAGATGGATCTTGAAAATTTAAAGAAATCCAGAGCCGCCACAAAGGGTTCTATTACTAGAATTGAGACCTGGTTTTTGAATTTTGAGAAAGTTTGTGGCGACTCAGTTGATTTTGAAATAAGGTTAGACAGAACTCATTCACTTTTTACAGAGTATGAGAGAATACAGAATGAAATCGATATATTGTCTAGCATAGACAACCCTGATACTGAGGATAGAAGTTTAACAGAAGATAAATACTTTTTTCTTGTAAGTGGTCTTACGAAAAAAATCAAAACCCTTACTGAACCACAAAATCCAACACATTTGAGTAGTGCTGGCTCTCACCATAGTTCTCAAGTTTCAAATAATGCGTATCCAAATACCGCAGTAAAATTGCCTGACATAAAAATACAAGTATTTAGTGGTGAGGTAAAAGATTTTGAATCATTCTTCCAATTGTTTGAGGCCCTAATTGTAAACAATGAACAACTCTCAGATATCCAAAAACTTATTTATTTGAAAAGCTATTTAAAAGGTGAACCCTTGCAGCTTATAGACTCATTGAAAATTGTTAATGAAAATTTTGAAGTAGCTTTAGGTATCCTTAAGTCTAGGTACGAAAATAAAATTGTGATTGTAAATGCTTATTTAAGTGCTATGTTAGACATTCCTGGCATATCAAAAGGAAAATCGAGCTTTCTTCGTGAGTTAGCTACAACAGTACAAAAAA